CAGTTACATCAAACTTAGATTTATTACGTTGTTTATATGTGAATGGACTTAAATCGATTTAAAAAGTTTCATATTGATTAAATTTAGGTTTGATCCAAACAATATCCAATCTTAATGAAACTTGACGCATCAACCATGATGAATTTGCTTTCGTAAAAACATCACATTTATATCAATGATTAAGTTCCCAAAGTATTACCATAACCCGTTGAATTTGGAGAAACCGGCATTAATTAATGCATATTAATTTCAACTTTACGGTGTTAAGTGTTCGGTTTTTCTTTCTAACCTCTCGGTTCTGTCTTGCATGTCATGATACGCACATCGTGTTGTTGATCGTATATCGCTGTGTGCAGGATCAGCTTCTTATGCTATTGGAGTTTTGCTTAATGATACACATTATTAAGTCGTTCAGCCATTTGATTTTTACTACTCCGGAATCATTTCATAGTTGTCCAAAGTAGTCAAGAATTGTTAATTTTATAATAATTAATTGCTGGACGTAATTATTACAGGTGTTGGAAAAAGACCGTCATTTGAGAAAATTCTATCCACACCCGATCGCTTTCCTGAATGATCTAATGATCATTTCTGACCAGAACTTTGACCAAACAATGCAAAACTTAAAAACGATAATTGTGTAAAGACAAATTTGCTGGTGAAACACATGCACCCCTCGCGGCTTTTGACAAGTCTTTTGTTCTGATTATTGTAAACACTTTTTTCTCCAAAGAACAAACGCTTTGAACTATTGAAGAAGACTGTCTTTTACTTTTATAGTGAAAGTTAAAAACAGATCATTGACAAGCCAATATGGAACTTGACTCCACTGTCAAGTTGATTACACGTGTAGTTTATTAATGGATGGGGTGTGTGTGTGTTAAATTTATATATTTAAATATGATTGGCAAAATTGTTTCATAATTGTATATTACATTATTAAATTGTTGCTTGATTCTTACATATCACATAGACACATAAGTATCTTAAAATTTGGTAAGAATTGTATTTGCAACTTCTATTAAAAAAAAGTAAAATATATCAAACGTTGATGAGTTGAAATTAACCATTTTGCCAATAAATATTTGACTTATATCTCAAGTCATCCACGAGGTTGTGTCTTTAAATTCTATTATCTATATATATTTCTTTTGATTTTATATATAAAATATTTTTAATTAAATCACGTAAATCAATAAAAGTTAATTATTTAATTAAAAGTACATCAACTTTTCAATTTTACCCCTCATTATTGTCAATAAAAAATGAATCTTTTTTTAAAATAAATTAATAAGAGTATTTATCTTTTTTCCTTTTCAATTTAATAAGAGTATAATAGTTCATTCATTAAAAAATATACTAATAATTTTTTATATTTAGGAATAAAAAAAATTCTAAAAAACCTCTTATATATAAGGATAAAAGGAGTGTGTGTGTGTGTGTGTATATATATATATATATCAAAATGTGTGCATTTTTAAACAGGAAAATAATTCCTCTCAACTAATAATCAGTTTTTGGGACTCGTCCACTCGAAATTTTTAGTTGTCAAAAACGGAAAAAAGTAATTAATTTACCAGCGTTGGAAAGTGATCAAAGAGATTTGGAATTTGGGCGAGGGGTGATGAATGCAGCCTCCCTTGCAAGAGAAAGAACAAAGTCAAAGCTGTTATTAATTGATTGGCGGAATCAAATTGTTCTAATTCAAGATCGATATTATACCGTCAAATTGTCAAATTCTTGAGACTCAAGGCAGGGTATATTGGGGTTTTTATTCGTATTACAACTGAAATTCATATATAATATCGTTAGGAAGCTAAAAATCCAGCTCCTTAAACTTAATTAACTTTTGTAATTTAATTAGTAATTAGTAAATTTAGGTGCCGATGAAGGATCCAAAAGTATATCTATATAGATTGCATCCTCTACACTATTTCGTTGAGAGCATAGTAATTAATTAGATTCAAATTCAATTCTCATTTCAGTCCGTTTGAAATGGTCTCTTTTACCACCTCAACTAGTCTCCATTACGTGACCTGTTTAGTGTTGGTAAAATTCAGGATTCAAAATTCTATTCAACTCCATGCTTGCATCCAAAATAATTATAATTAGAATCTCCATATAAATATTTTTGTTGTGGTGATTGTTTATAAAGGAGGGAGAGAATATTTTTTTTTGTTGTATTTATAAGTCATGACATTACATTTTTTCACACATTTCTTATTTTACTCCACATTAAATATTGGTAAAAGAAACATGTTATTAAATTACATACATTTAATAAAGGTAAAGTACCAATTTATTAAATTTTAAGACATGGTTAATAAGTTTTAAATTTTTTCTTGTGTTCAGTGGAATGTATTGAAAAGAAATGAACTATAAATAGAATTATAATGAGCATTCTTTTTTGTTTTTATATAAGACAAACTTAATCAACTTCTTGTTTATTAAAAATTGAGAAAGATTTGTTTTATCCTTAAATTTATTTAAAAATTATGTAACTTTTCAATTTTATCATTTTTATCATTAATAAATATAATAAAGCATTTTTTAAAAATTTAAATCATGATAAATAAATAAGTGATAAAATTATAAAAAATAATTAATCTAACTTTATTTTTTATTTTACATCAAGGACAAATTTTTTAAAAAAGATTTCCTATTGAAGGTGGGAAGGAGTAATTGATTAAGTTGATATTTTGTTGAAAAATGTACTCCCTTAGTATCAAAGTATAAAACATTTTTTGGAGGGATTTGACATTCTAAATTATAAGATATTTTTAAAAAAATAAAATTTATTAATTATATTTTTTTAATATTATCCTTCCAGTTATATTTAATTTCTTTAGTATTATTTCATAAATAAAATATTAAATAAAGTGCATCTTTAGAAGTTTATATTTTTTCTTTAAAAAAATAAAATTATAAAGTGATTTTACTAACATATTAACATACGCAATTTTATGTAAAAATATTTTATAATTTAAAGTTAATGAGTATCTTAAATTTTAAATTATTGCTCAAATAATATTTGAATCTTAAAATCTTAAAATGTGCAAAAACTTTCATTAATTTTTAAATTTTGAGTGTCTAAAACCTCACTGTTAATTTTAAAAAAAAATGACTATTATTTATATAATTGTTAAACTTAGTCGCATGTTGATGTTGCATTTATTTTGACCTTTAAAAATAACTACCATTTTTTAACTTAACGAAAAGTTTTAGATGTTCAAAATTTAAAAGTTGAGAAATTTTTTTATATATTTTAAAAATTTAAAATTTAAAATATTATTTACATAATAATTTAAAATTTATAATACTCATTGACCTTATAATATAATTTGAGAGAGAATGAGTAATTTTTTGAGTTTCATTTGCAATTCCTTAATACCGGCTGCAATCGAATCTGCAATCCTTGACTTGAATGCGGACGCAAACTTCCATTTCAAATTTGGACTGCCACTTTTCCAAATATAATCAATCCGCATCACGTGAGTCATCACTGAACCCAAAGTCTCACCTCCAAATTCCTCCCTCGGGCCCTCCTTAATGGTGCACTAATTTTTGACAAACGTGTATAAATTATTTTCTAAAGTTAATAAACTTTACATAAATAGCAGTTAATATTTTAAATTTATAAGGAATGTTTAAATTTTTTATTTTGGCATTCAATAAAATTAATGAACAAATTAAAATTTTAAAAAATTTATATTAAAGGCCCTAAATGAAAAAAATGACGGTGAGAGTCCAGAAAAACAAAAAGTTTAGTATACGCAAGTAAATCACTAAATCTTATGTTATTCTTGGCCCTTATTCTCATTTTTTCTCATATGAGGGCTCTGAATGCAATTTTTCCTAAAATTTATCTAGCAATTACAACCTTACTGCAATTAAACAACCAATATTGGACCAGAGATAATTGTATGGTACTAGTATATCACATTTTATAAATGAATCTATAGTAGTTACTTCCATCAAATTACCTTAATCAAAGTGCAAGGATGTACGATTTTTTTAATAATATAATATAATATAATATATAAATAATATAATGAGTTAAATGGTAAATTTGTCTATAAACTATTAGCTTATGAGTGTCTATAATCCTAAACTCATTTTTTATGTGATATTTTAAGTTTGTAAATAGTGATATTATCTCTACCATTAACAAATGTTATCTTTGACTATTGGTTAATTGAAAATGACCTCAAACATTATAGAAAAGGATCAAAACTCATTTTCTATAAATTTTCGGTTACTTTTTATAATTTTTAGGTCTTTTTTTTTACATTCTTTTTATCAACTAATGATTAAAGTTTTTTTAATAGTAGGGGCGATAATGCATTATTTTTAAAAGTTGAAGAGAAATATAACATTAAAAATGTATTTTGGGTCCTAAATGCTTTTAGATGTATAATTTAAGGGTAAAATTGTCATTTAACCCTAATATAATTATATAATTATGTATGAAAATGATATATATATATATATATATATGATATCATGTTATTAAATTATAATATGTTTTATGCACATTTTGCTCCAATAATTTATCCGAAAAATGAAAACTTTTCTGTTTAATTTTATGGAATTTAAACTGCCAATGAACACATACTTGTTTAGGAAGGAAAAGGACCGTATTACTGTACGCAGTACGCTATAGCAATCTGTATCACTTAACATACCCCACCCGTTAGTTGATTAAGGGTGGTTGGTTTGCTTTTCTTTTTGTTTGTTTTGTATCCTGTTTTGTTTTCACATTCTGTTGAATGAATATTTCATGTTCATATTCAAAAATAAAAAAAAAATCTCTAACGCTTAACAGTTAACAACCTACTTCACAAACCCCACTATCATTTGCATTTAAACCTTAAACCATTGGGAGAAAAAAATTAAAACCATTGTTAACCGCCCAAAAATACATTAATGAGAGGTTTGTTAGCCTTATAATTTTGAACTGAGGAAGTAAACCACTGGCTGTAAAAAATAAATAACTTAATTCATTAATAATAATTAGCGCATGCATCAAATATCGATTGCTTGTTATATGCAAGAATCGCCTTCCAATCTTGCCAGACGGAAGTGGAATCTATCTCAGGGAAAATGAAAAATATTTGAAAATCAAACCGAACTCTGGCTCGGTACAAATGGACATAATTCTACGAAATCAAATATATCAATTTCCCGTCATCCTTGTCTCTTCAAAATCAAGAAGCTCCTCCAGCAATTTGTCATCCAAGTACTCAAACTCGAACACTTGTTTTCCATGCTGCGCATGACTACTCGGCGGAAGAGAAGAAGAGGAAGAAGCAGAGGACCGGGAGTCGGCCACGGCATCGGCACCGCCGGCCGAAAGTGGGTATTCATCCGGGAAGTTGAGGACGGCAAATGGGCCTCTCATGGCGTAAGCGGCCCTGTCGTAGGCCCTGGCGGCATCCTCCGCCGTGTTGAAAGTCCCCAGCCACACCCTCTGGCCCTGCCTCGCCGAGTCCCGAATCTCCGCTGCGAACTTCCCCCACGGCCGCCGCCTCACTCCCCGATACCGGACAGCATCACTTGCCCTTCTAGATCCCGACCCATCTGCCTCCATGTCCGGCCTTGTTATTTACTTGTGTCTGCTTATTGCATGCATGGTTTTCAGATATTAAGATTATATAGATATGGTTTGAAAAAATGGGGGCCCGATCGAGTAACAAAGAGAATCAGGCACGTGAGCGACGAGGAAAGGAATGTCTTTTTGCACGTGTGGAAGAGAAGCTTAAGGCAGCACCTTGAAAGGTTGCATGTCCATTGTATCTGGATGGTCAAGCGATGATGGCTCTGTACTGGAGGTTTCCTCTTTTCAGCTCATTTCCTTGCCTTGCTTTTGCGTCCGATCTTGACAGATTTTTCAATCCGGCTTCACTCATGCATGAAACTCACTTGCAAACAAATGGAATTCTATCCAATCCATGGCCCAGCGAGAGCATGTAATTAATTACGAGACAAAAAATCAATCAATCAACGAAATTGAATCATCGTTTTTTTAAAGGTTAAACATGTCGATCACGTGAAGTATTCTGATTATTCCCCCAACGCGAAAGTGGGTTACTTACGTTGTGGAATCTTATCGAATACCGATTATCTTCACTGCCTTGTTAATTTAGGAAACGCGGCTAATTTTCCAATGCATTCACTTTATCATGTCTTCAACGATGGTTTTCCTTGCTGTGATAAGACTTTGATGTAAGAATTTGGGGAAACTAGAATGGAAAATCTTCTTTTCAGCCATTGGGCCAAAAATGAAGGATGTTGGTTCCACAATTTCTTACTCTAACCCAAATCTAGCTAGCTTGTTTCACCCTTTAAGTTTATTCGTCAGGGGCCGAATTTACAGAGGATCAGTACTGCTTCTAGAGATCCGAACCAGATTCCATGAGTTATTAGAAAAAGGCAGCGTACTGACCCAAAGCAGGAAAAAAAGGATATTTAAGCCAAAAATTTTAGGGTTGAAGGAGAAAGCAGAGAGAAGACAGTGTGCGTTCATGAAGACGGGTGATCAATCCAGTTCCTCTAGAAGCAACCAGAACGTCCGCTGTAAAACTAGAACTATGTAATAAAATACAATGCTAGTGGACATAGTCATAACTCGTAATAACTAATGAGATTTGAATATCTGTGCTTGTAGGGGGGGGGGGGGCGTACAAGTCGCTGGTATGTGCGTGTAAAAAATTTATGCGACAACTAGCCAAATCTAATCTACCCAACAAATTTTACAGCTACTGTTCAGTTGTTCAAGTTTATGGGCTTGAGTAAACGTAAAAAGCTCCACACATTAAATAAAATCAAGCTTAATAATTAATTAATACATGAGTTTTTGAATTAAAATATGACATTCTTTCACTATATTTACCCATTTTTTCTCCCCGTTTTCAGTTTAGTTGTTACCCATTCCTAACATGTATAAACATTAATAACAATTAATTAATATAAGACTGAAGTATGAAGTAATTTGCTAAAAAGATTGTTAGATGTGAATATGAACTTCTCTGCGTTTGCGCACCACAATACAACAAGTGAGTTTCCGCTCAGATGTGGGATTGAGAAGTATGATTATGGTTATTTTAACTTATACATGGATTTAATTAGGGGTAAATTTTTATTACCTTAACGTGTTGGTTTAGAAAAACTATACAAGTAGTTTTGATTCATTTTGCTCTTATGTGCGTTCGGATACAGGAAACATAAGCTTATGAAACAAGTTTATAAAATAAGGCATCTTTATTGAATCAGACAATTTAAGAAAAGATATTGTAATTGGTTAACGATTTTTAATTTTTTTTTTCAAAAATTATCAACATATTTCAATACTATTCTTAATTAAAGATATTAGCATCTATTCTAATATTAAATACATCTTTCTTGCCAGCGAAGCGAGGCTTGATTTTTTTCGAAAGAAATGCAAGTCAAGACAAAGATGTCAATTGTTAATAAATTAAAAGTTGACAGGACCTTTTGGTAACACAACATATATTGGTGATTGATGATTCACTGAATTTTGCAGGCAAAAAAGGTCATGAAAAAGATTATACAAAAGAATTCTATCGGTAAAAATACTTTTTAACCTATTAATAAGAAAGTCTCCTGTCATTAGAAAATGACAGAACACTATCATTTTTCCGTCTTTGCCGTGGGATTTGCAAAGTCAAAGAGAATAATACTGCAATCGCCCCCTTTTTTTAATAGATCTAAAAACCTTCCGAACGGAGATGAATTGTAGACTTATCTGGACGAAGTGCCTGATTGGATTAAAAAAATAATCGATTTTTTAATTAAAAAATTAATTAATAAAAAAAATACCCAAACATCACTTTTTTCAGTTAATCGATTGTTGCGAAAAATCGATTTTTTTTTCTTAAGCTGTATTTATGAGCTTCTGCAAAAATTCTGATCAAAAAGTATTGAAAACAATTATAAAAAAAGTCTAAGAAAAAATTATAAACAAAACATAAAATTTAATAAAAATAAAACCAAACTCCCTTTTTTCTTTTTTTTTTTAGTAAAAATTTAAATTTTAGATCCTTAAAAAAATTAATAACATAAATTCCTATCAACCACCATCCTTCACTTGTTATAAAATTAATTTAAATAAAATATTAATTTATAGAGAAAAATTAATTTAATTTAATTTAAAATGAAAGGTTATTACAAAGATTATTGTAAAGGTTTTGGGAGACAAAAGTATTTTGTGTCATTTGTTATATTATTACATTTTTTATATTGCCAAAATTTCTTGGCAGTACTTAATATCTTTGTTAGATATGGCTCATATTTGTGATGTCATTAAAGATTAACTTATATATTATCATTCCCCTTAGTTATTGTAAAATTAATATTTGATATTTAAGAATTAAATTTTTTTCTTTTATTAAATTTATATGAATTAAGATATATTGAGTTATTTATTTATGTAAATTAAAATTGTTAATATCGATAAAATTTAAATTTTTATAATTAATTAGATATATAATTTAAATAATATATTTCATTTTTTAAATAAAATTTAATAAATTTAATAATATTAGATACAAATTTATTAATAATTTATTTTAAAAAGTAATGTCCTTTGTGATATTTTATATAGTTAAAATTAATTCTAAATAAATTATTCAAATATTTGTAATTCTATTAAAATTAATTTTAAAAAATTATATCCAAATAAATTATGTTATAACATAATCAATTATGATTAAAATTAATTATTTAATTAATTATTTTTATAATTGATTATACTTAATTAAAATTCAAACAGGCCCATAATTATCAGGTTGTTAAACTTGTGATAAGGATGTAAATTTAGATTGTGAACTCAGATCATAAACATGTAAGAGTTTATCTCTATTAATAAATAGCTATTAAAATTTATATTATTAAATAATTAAAATATAAAATATGATTGTAATTTAATTTAAATATATTTAAAATATAAATGATTGAAATTAAACACATCTACATTAATAAATTATCATATAAAACATAGAAATTTTAAAATAAGAAAACTTATATTTTGTATTTTTTTATTAATATTATTTTTTATTTTTAAGTTTTTTCTTTGAACTAGGTCCTATAACTTTTATGAACTGAATTCTGTAACATCTCAATTTAAATTTTTATAGTTAATTTTGATTAATAGAAATTTTAAAAAATATTTAGAGGTAAGAAAATTGGTAAAAAATAATTATTAAATCTAACTTAGGATATAATTTTAAATTAAATTTTTTTTAAAAAAAATTATTATAATTAATTAATTAAAAAATATTATTAAATTATTATTATTATAAAAAAAAGAGAAAAGAAAATAAAAATTGTATGGGAGAGGACGAGAGGGAGATAAAAAAAAAAAAGAAAGAAATACAAAGGCGGAGGAGGAGGAGGAACGGCTTTTCTTTTGGCGCTATAATTGTGTGATGTCCATATATAATAATAAAAAAAAGAAGAGAGTGGCAAGAAGAAAGTAATACAAAAAAGACGTGGTGGGACCCACATTCATTTTTTTAAAGTCACCGTTCTCTTCTCATTTTTCTTCATTTCCTTCCTCTTTCGTGTGCGATCAAAGAGAGCGTCTGTGAGTGAGTCACAGTGCAGAAGATCTAAGTTTTTAAGGTAAGAGTTTTTTAATAGGATATTAGGGTGTGATTTCAAGTTTTTCAAGACTAAGTAAGTGTTTAAAAATTTTTCTTAATCATTCTTCTTCTTTAGTTTCTGAGTTTGTAGTGGTAGAAAATTTAAGATCTGGAAGAGGGATGAATTTATGTTGAATAAATATGGTTTTTGAGGTTATCAGTAGTATAATAAATGTTCTAGAGTATAATTTGTTGATGATCTTTGAATTTGTGACTTATGGATCAAATTCTAAACTAGATCTGAAAATATATGTTGATTTATTGAGGTTTAGATGATTATTTGGGATGAGAAATGAATTATTATGGTTTTAGGATTATGATTCTAAGCTAGAGACTCAATTTTTAATTTTTGGGTATTTTAGGTACGAATTTATAAATAAAAAGAAAATTTTGATAATAGAAATTAGTTTAAAATTTGATTTTTAGATTATTAATGTTTATTGATGAGTAAAAGAGGAGTTAAAAATTTTACTTAATAGTATTAACTCTAGATTTGTATTAAGATTGAGATTAGGAATTATGTTATATTTTTAATTCTATTATTAGAATTATTTTATTAGTTTCAAAAATTGAAACTAATATTTATAAATAATATGTTATTTGTAGATTGTATTATTGGTGAAGATTGTGGTGGGAGAGAAATTGTAAGGAATAATTTATTAAAAAGCCACAAGGTAACCATACTTTTAATTTTTGATTAGTGTTACTTCATGTTAATTGGGTAATTATGAGAAAATTATGAATTTTGTAATATTGTATAATTGTGCAATATTATTATGAATTTGTTTGATTATTGTGGGAGGTGTTGGGAGATTTGCTATTGTTGTTGTATTTATGTGCCACGTGGTACACCCTATTGGAGCTCAATAGGTGGCTTGTAAGGGCTCGGGCTAATCTACCTTTGGCCGGGTAATTTAGCACCGAGTGAGGGCTACGGCTCGAGGTTAATGGAGGGATATAAGGATGGTTGTTTGTGTGTATTGTAATATTTCTTATATTTGTTAGAATTATATTATTTTTAATTTTTACTTAATAAGTACACACTTAACTGTTTGTATACACTATCATAAATTGGCTTTGGTTACTGGGACTTTTGAGTCTCATTATGTGGTTAACAATTTTTAGGAGAAGAGCCACGAGTGATACGTGGAGGAGTCCCAGAGGCTTAGTGGTATAGATCCACTGTCTCTTTTGGATATTTAATTTATGATTTATAATGTGTTATATTGCCAATATTAGGACTTTTTGTTTATTGTCAATTATATGAATATATAAATGTAATCATGCCTTTCAAAC